ACTTTGATGGAAGAAAGGGTTAATCAGCTCCCTAACATAGTCTTTGACCAACCACTTCGTAAACATTCTGTTGTAAGATTTGGTGTTTTTCATAATTGAGTGAAACGTAGTATATTTTGGGAATTATCATACTAGAAGGACTTAGTAATTTGTCATAACCTTGATGTCATGCATTGTGAAAAGAATTTTTTAGATAACATTAAAAATACTAATAACACCAATGCTAAATTGGATCTACAACTGTATTGCAATAGATCTGAATTAAAATTGATACCTCAAGATGATGGAACAACTATAAAACCCAATGCTACATATGTTGTTACTTGAGAGCAACGAGCTTTTATCTGTCAGTGGCTAAAGGAATTGAGATTCCCAAATAGGTATGCATCCAACATAGCATGATGTGTTAACATGCAAGAACTTCAATTGTTTGGGATGAAAGCCATGATTGTTATGTATTCATGCAACGTCTCTTGCCAATTGCTTTCCGTGATTTCTTCATAGATGAAGTTTGGGGTCCCTTAACTGGGATTAGTAACTTTTTTAGAGCTTTAACTACTCCGATTATTCAAGTCAGTAACATGAAGATGTGGGAGGAAAAAATTGTTGAGACCATTTGCAAGCTAGAGAAAGTATTCCCGCCAGCATTTTTTGACTCGATGGAGCATTTGGCTATCCATCTACCATATGAGGCAAAAGTTAGAGGACCTGTCCAATTTTGTTGGATGTATCCTTTTGAAAGATATATTTCTTTTAATATATCTTTGCATCACAATAACATTCATGAGCATATTTAATAATTTAATGTTATTAATTAATTTTCTTATTTGTTAATAGAAAAATGCATGACCTTAAGAAAACAATGTTGAACAAAAATCGTGTTGAAGCTTCGATTTACGAGTCTAATATTCTTTCAGAAATTACCTTCTTTTGCTCGCATTATTTTGGTTCTGACATAGAGACAAGATTGAATCATCAACCAAGAAACATTGTCGGCGTGAATGATGATATGGATAATTGTTTGTTTGTCTTTAAACATCGAAGTCAACCACTAAGTGGAGAAATGCGTAGGCATGCATTGTCACCCAAAGAATTAAAGGCAGCAGAATTTTATGTTGTGCTTAATTGTGAAGAAGTTAATCCATGGATTGCGTATGTTCTCTAGTTCTAACTTTTATTTGTTTAAGTTACTAATATGTATAGATTGTTTTCTCCAACTTCTTCATATAGGCTTTTTGATTATTAAGTATGTTCCAATCTATCAAATGATCAAATTCAAATCAAACGGCAACTTGAATTTATTCCTTGGTTTAAGACAACGATAAATAATTTATTTTAATAATTTTTATTATTAAGATCTCAATTTTTATATATTTTAGGATTAAATATTAAATATTTTTATAACAAATATAGGTGCCTAGTGGAAGATATGAGGTTGATTCTTGCATTTTACCTTTAGTAACTGGCCCAGTCAATAACATTAGAGTATACAATGGTTATTGGGTTAATGGATTCTGGTTTCATACTATCACATATGAACAAAATAAAAAGACCATGAATAGCGGTGTTTGTGTGAAGGGAACCACTTTCAATGATGAGTCAGATTATTATGGGAGTTTGAAGGAAATTATTGAGCTTCAGTATTTTGACTCATATGTTCATCAATTAGTGATTTTGTTCAAGTGTGAGTGGTATGATATCAACAAAGGCA